CTTGATTCCTCTGATTCCTTGATTCGAGTCGTCTAATATATTTGGAGTCAACGCTGGCTGATATGTTTATGCCGTGTCGTCTTCCTTCGTCGGTCACGACTGGAAAACTCTCGATGAATAAGGATACACTTCCAACCACCAATCCGAGAACATGTTGCTTTTATCGAGCTGGACGTTGTGTCGCGGGCGGGCCAGGAAGAAAATCTGGACTTCTCGCAAGGCGGGACTCATCAGCGCGCCTGCTCGGCGGCCCAGCGCTCTTTGCGAAAGCGCCCGACAGGGGGTGGGGAGGGGCATGCCATGCAAAAGTAAACGTGCCTCCAGCTAAAGAGAGACATCCTCCTGGGTGCAAATGCCCGTCTGCGGAAAGATCGCAGCTAGACAAGCGCGTTCCACTACTCGCAAAATAACTTCTCGCAGATGGCCTGGATCAGCTGCGACGGATTTACGATCCATGGCATAGAGGAAGACATGAGTTTTGATTTGAGACTTTTGCGAGTAGGCACTCTGCGAGTAGCGGGACGCGCTCGGTGAGCAGCGCCCGAGGGGGTGGGGAGGGACATGCCATGCAAATAAACATGCTGCAGACGTAACAGAAACATCCTGCTGGGCGCAAGTGCCAGTCTGCGAAAAGATCGCCGCGCCCGCTGGGGGGGGGTGAGGGGGCGTGAAAGGCAACCGCAAACCCTGCCTCACACGAGACACACGTCCTCCTGGGCGCAGATGCCCGCCTGCGGAAAGATCGCCGCGCCCGATGGGGGGGGGGGGAGGGGGCATGAAAGGCAGCCGCAACCTTGCCTCGAACGAGACACGCGTCCTCCCGGGCGCAAGTTTATGTCGGGCCTGTCCCCCCTACAGGGGGATTTTCGACGACAAAATTAAAAATACCCCAAACATAATCAAAACATAGTCTGGAGTACTTTTTGACATAATTTTGGGGTATTTTGGGGGTATCTTGCATTTTTCGTCGAAGATCCCCCTCTAGGGGGACACGCCCGACATAAGCGCAAGTGCCCGCCTGCGAAAAGGTCGCCGCGCCCCCGATCCCGGGCCCACGCGCCCCGGGCGGCGCGGGGCGGCGCACGCCGCCGGAAGGGGGCCCAGCGCCCGCCCTTAGAGGCTGGCCGCGGGGACCCCTCCGACGGTGCAGCCTGGAGCTGCCAGCCGCCTCGTTAGCAGCCTGGAACATATCCCTATCCCCATGCTGGGCACCTCCTCGCCACGATGCCAATCTCAGGGATTCCCTGATTTTTTGAGGGCGAATCCCTAAGATTGTCATCGCCTTGTGGCGTGCCAAGCTTAGGGATAGGGATACGTTCGAGGCTGGTGACCTCGGGGCATGAGGCGAAGCCGGGACGAGGATCAGGTCGGGTGAGGATAGAAATCGAGGAATCGAGAACCTCCGAGATCCGGCGGCTCTGGAGGGTGTCTCGGGCGCCGCGGCCTGCTCACAGCGTGCCCGAAGACGCTCTGAGAGCGGAAGGCTCTGCAACGGCTTCGTCCTCGTCGTAGCCCCATCCGACATCCAGCATTTTGGCTCTTGGGAACGGCAATCACCGTTTCCTAAACATCCAATGTTGCGGATTAAGTTGCGATGACGTAAAACAGATCAACGAAAGCAACTCCAACAACGAAGCAAGAGCCAGATAAAAAAAAAACATCGGCGACGGAACCGAAGAAAAACATCGGCACCCAAACCGGGGGACAAACTGCAAAACGAAAACGGAACAAACACTGCCCTGCCGTTTCCAAGAACCACAATGGCCCATCCCGCCCTCGTCGCTCCTCGTCACCACGGGTGGGCCCCAGTCGTCGCGGGCGAGCAACGCCATAGGGAAAATATGCATAGACGGCAGGTTGGTGTCGTGACGACCCTGCCGCTGGTTTCCGGCGCCGCGTGAATCGTTCAACCTTGGACGATCGGCGGGTTGTCGATCGCGGGAACGCCGCTTCTTCGCCGATTCTAGGACACCAGCGGCGTTCGCCCTTGAACGGCCGCGGCGTGGCTGTCGCCACATCAGCACGACGCGAACCTGCCATAGCTGGACTGCACGTCAACAGCTACAATTTCGGAGGTCACAATTGGTCGCCCAGGACAGGCCTGGGGTAGGGGAGGTCCTTGTCATCGCCGCCGTCTTTCCCTGAGATCCGACGTCGCGAGATAAATGTAACATCGTGAACCAATCACGACTGGAGCCCCAGACCCTCTCTTCCTGCGCCATGTTTCGAGCCGGATCGATGTGTGAGGGTCCTGGGGCCCGAAACCGAGCGAGAACGCCCATTGTGAAAAAAACGAGAGTTCGTGTTTCGCTGATCTGCTCTTAACCGGAAGAGGCTCGCTCTCGACCCGCAGACCAAAAAGTTTCGCTGATCTGCAGGCTTGGCCTGTAGTATCCTGTAAGATCCCCTGCCCACCGAGCCTGGCGCCAGAGCAGCGCAAAGGCCTTCGTGCGGAGCTGGCCCCCGCCCTCGGAGGCGCAGTCGTCGTCGCACCGGGCAGCTGCTGGCCGCAGGCGGTCCATGCCGAGCTCCGCCCGGAGCCGCCGGCCTGCGTCCGAGGTGGCGTAGACAAGCGACCGGTCGCAGGCGAAGGGGCCCAGGTTGTGCTCGAACTGCCACTTCACGAGCGCCGCCTGATGCAGCATGGCGCTTCGAGCGGAGCCGCGGGAGAGGGCGATCCAGGAATCTCAACGACCACGATCGAGGCCTCCTGGATGGGGCCGCGTAGATCGGGTCGGAGGATTGCGCCGCATCGCCGATACACTGGCGATGCATCGGTGACGTCCGCATGGAGAGAATCGGGCTCCGCATCGCCGACGCATCGCCGATGCGGCGCCATCCTCCGACCCCATCTGCTCGGACCCCATCTGGGAGGCCTAGAGAATCTCAGCGACCACGACGGCGGCGCCATCGAGCAGGCCCGGGCCCGGCTCACTGATCTCATGGCCCCAGGCGCTGCCGCATGACGGCCGCCCCGGACACTTCTCGAGCGCCGCGTCACGTTACAGGGCTGGTCAGCACCGATTTTCGGCGGCGAGCCCAGGGGGAAAGCTTTTCGTTTTAGTCAAAAATGTGTTTTCCGCATCCAGGTCTCGCTGGTGTATTGGGCTCCTGTCGAGAAGGCAAGTGGGCTCCCAGCCCCAAGCAATGTTCAGAGTCGGCGAGGCTAATTCGCGTGCAGATTGAGGGAGAGGGCTAGGGAGACAGTTCATGGGGAACGCTCCCGTCTATTACGCGGAGTGCATGTAACCCTCGGGGGTAGGCGAGCCCGGGGGGGGGGGGGGGAAGTGAGGAGGGGCGGGCCTTCCCGGAAGGCCCAGAAGCCGCCCGCCCTTCTGCGAAGTTTTTTTTCTACGCCACCCCGAAGGCGCAGAGCACTGCTTAGAAGGCGCGATGGCTTCTGAGGAGTCCCGCCGCCTTCTGAGAGGGCCTCCTCCTTCTCGTGAGCAGGGACCGGCCGTCCCGGCATTCCTCTAGGCCTACCACGACATGTTCTTAGAACCCCCCGAAAGCTAGAATATCAAAACATTGTTCTTAGAGCATGAACCCGACGTGTTAAAACAAGACAGATCCAACCAGAAATGCTCGAATAACATAACCACAGCCTGTTTTTCGCAGATTCTTTGGTGGGCCTGTAGGCGAGCCAGGACGCTTCGCCACTGCTTGATTCTCGCTTCCTCCCCTCGCTCGCCGCCGAGAACCGACACATTGGATCGGAGCGTCGGGACGTGCCCTGCCACGCTCCGACCGGCCGCATCGGCGCGCCCCGATCGAGCCGCTGCACCAGGCCGACGCGCGCCCTCCGCTACCAGGAGGAGGTGGAGGAGGCTCCAGGAGGACCAGGAGGAGGATGAGGAGGACGAGGAGGAGGAGGAGGAGGAGGAGGAGGCGGACCAGGAGAGGACCAGGAGGACGAGGAGAAGGAGGAGGAGGAGGAGAAGGAGGAGGAGAAGGAGGAGGAGAAGGAGGAGGAGAAGGCTCCAGGAGGAGGAGGACCAGGAGGAGGAGGAGGAGGAGGAGGAGGAGGAGGAGGAGGAGGAGGAGGAGGCGGACCAGGAGAGGACCAGGAGGCCGAGGAGAAGGAGGAGGAGGAGAAGGAGGAGGAGAAGGAGGAGGAGAAGGAGGAGGAGAAGGAGGAGGAGGAGGAAGCGGACCAGGCGATGCAGGATGCACGTCAGCGCCACGCACGCACCGGCTGGCGCGGAAGGAAGGGTGGTCCCGAGACGAACGGGCCCTGAGGGCCCCGGGGCCTCCCCCCCAAAGGGCGAGCTTCTCGGCGGCGGGCCAGGGGGCGGAATTTGAGAAGGAGGAGGCCCTCCCACTTCTCACCGAGGAGGAGGAGGAGAAGGCCTTCTGAGAAGGCCTTCTCCGTCGCACTTTTTCCCCCGGCCCGATGCACCAGCTCGATCGAGGCGTGCCGCTGTGGCAGTTCGAGCGTCCCATTGCACGTTCCCGTTCCGATGTTCCGATCCAATCTGTCGATTCTCGGCGGCGAGCGAGGGGTGAAGCGAGAAGGAGACGGCCTTCTCAGAAGGCGGCGGGACTCCTCAGAAACCCTCCTGCCTTCTGATGAAAGTTCTGAGAACTTCTCTAGAGGCCTCCTAGAAGGGGTCCGAGCAGATGGAGTCGGATGACCGCTGCGCATCGCGAATGCATCGGCAATGCATCGGCGATGCGACGGCGTCGTCGGGGACGGATCGGCGACGTCGGCGTGGAGGAACTCGAGGTAGACATCGAGCCGCATCGCCGATGCATCAGCGATGCGGCGCAATCCTCCGACCCCATCCAGTACAACCCCATCTAGGAGGCCTAGATTCTCAGAAGGCCTGGGGACTCCCGAGCCTTCTGAGCAGGCTTTCTCTCGGGCGGGTGGCAATGTTGGGTGACCCAATTGGAGATGGAGAAAAAGGGCTCTAAAAGGGGCCCTTTAGGGTCTGTTTGAGCACCAGCTGTCTCCAAAAGGGGCCCTGAAGGGCCACTTAAAGGGTTTTGTTCTTCAGCTGAATCTCCTGGATCCGCGCCCCTCCCCTGAGACCTGGTGTCGCCGAGAGATGGGAGCGTCGCCCTCCCCCCCCCCGGAACACCCCCTCCCCCCCCCCGGGACACTCCCGGGGGGGGTCACTGCCGGTTCGAAACCGAGGGGGGGTCACTACCGGTCCGGTTCGAACCTCCCCCCCCACGCTCACCGCCAGCAAACGACTCCCCGGTCCCTACCACCGTCCGCACCCCACTGTCCCCACCAGTGCCCCCACCACTGCCGCACTGTCCCCACTGTCCCCGCCACTGCTGTTCCCACCACGGTTCCACTCTCCCCACATTCTCCACGGCCCCAACCTCTGTCCCCGCTGTCCCCGCCGCTGTCCCCACCGTTCCCGCCACTGTCCCCACCACTGTTCCCGCTGTACCTCTGCCCCCTTATCCCACCGCCGTCCTCGCCACCGCCCTCACAACTGTCCTCACCACAACTGCACCCTCCACTGTCCCAGTGTTTCCACCACATCCCCACTGTCCCCACACCATTGTCCCCACAACCACCGTCCCCACCACTGTCCCACTGTCCCCAATGTTCCCACCACCGTCCCCACTGACCCCACCAATGCCCCCACCAGTGTCTCACTGTCCCCACTGTCCCCACCACTGTTCTAACCACGGTTCCACTCTCCCCACTTTCTCCACGGCCCCAACCACTGTCCCACTGTCCCCATTGTCCCACTGTCCCACTGTCCCCGCCGCTGTCCCACTGGGCTGTCCCACTGTTCCCACCACTGTCCCCACTGTCCCCACCACTGTTCCCACTGTACCTTTGTCCCATTCTCCCACCGCCAAAGTCTAACCGCGCTAACTGGCACCTAGCCCACCTGCATCTGGCACCTAGGATTCAACCCTCCTGAGGCTCTCATTCACTTGCTGGGGGGCATGGGATCTAATGGAATTGAACGCGCGATGGGGGCTAAGATCGCATGGATGGGCTAAGATCACATGGAATCCAATCTGCGGGGGAACGCGCCAGGAAATAATGTCGAGTCAAATATGACTTGCTCCTTTCTTCCTGTTCCTGCTCCTCTCTCTTCCTGGCCCCTCCTCCTGCTCCTCCTCCTCTCATTTAATAATTGAATATGCGCTTGCCTTGGACAAGCGCATCCCCCTGCCTATAGATGATGCCCCCCCTGGGGCCCTCTTTTTTTTTTTTGGGGGGGGGGGGCAGCGAGGGCACTGGCGTGGTGTTGCTAAAGCCCGCCGATGGAAAGCACAAGAAGATGATTGACGCGTCGTCTTGTTTGCCTTTGAACTCGGTACTGTTTCTTGCCCCTAGCCTTCGGGTATAAAAAGCATGGTAGTCGTCTCGTCGTCAGGGGGAGGCTCCTCATCCTGCTCCTCCTCCTCCTCCTCCTCCTCCTCCTCCTCCCCCCCCCTTTCCTCCCCCCTCTTACTCCCTATCTATGTCTCTTCCACCTTTTCTCCCAAATTCGCTGCGGCAACCAGGCGCCGTCTGTCCGCTTATACCTTAGCTCCGGCGGCGCCCGCGGCGGCGGCGCCCCGCCGAAACTTAGCCCCCCGCCTACCTCTCGCCCTTCACGCGAGCGCACCCGCGCTCGAAGGCCACGGTGACGGCGGCCCCCCCCAAGGGCAACTGGGCTTCGTCGAAGCCTGGGGGAGGGGGGCAGCAGCAGCAGGTGAGGGGGGGAGGAGGAGGAGCCAAGTTGGGGGGGGCGAGGAGGACGAGAAGGAGGAGGACGAGGAGGACGAGGAGGACGAGGAGATGGAGATGGAAGACAGGGGGGACAGCAGCAGGGCCCCCCCCCTCATCACTCTGCCTGGAACGAACTACGCCCCCTCATCATCTGCCTCCTCCTCTTTTTCCCCTCCTCCTCTTCCTCCTCTTCACCTCCTCATCACATCATCGTCCCCTCTCATCGTCTTCATCCTCCCCCGCCTCCTCCTGCCCGTCCACTCCTCCTCCCCCCCTGTCCTCGTCATCATCCCCCTTGTCCTCTTCCTCCTTATCCTCCTCCCTCCCCCCATCCTCCTCCTCCTATTTCTCTTCCGACCCCTCACGTTCCTGCTCCTCCTCTTCCCCCCTCTCCTTGTCCTCCTCGTCCTCTTCCTCCTCCTTCTCCTCCTCCTCCCTCCTCCTCACCTCGTCCTCCTCCCTCCTCCTCCTCCCTCCTCGTCCTCCTCCTCCACCTTGTCCTCGTCCTTCTCGTTCTCGCCCTCGTCCTCGTCGTCGTCGCCCTCCTCCTCCTCCTCCTTCTCCTCCCCCCCCTCCTCCCTCCCCCTCCTCGCCCCCCAGCCGCCCGCGAGCCCTGGTGGCGCCTGCCGCAGCCGCATGCCTTAGCGCCTCGCCCTCGTTCTCCCAGAGCTTCTCGAGTTTCGCGATGTCCTCCATGGCGCGCGAGTTGCCAGGTGGGAGGGCCTGGGGGCGGCTCGCGCGCACGAGGCGCACCGCTTGCTCAACCCTCATTAGCCCCATGGCGCAGAGACACACAGCAGCCACGCACGCCGACCGGTACTCCCCCTGGCGGCAGAAGATGAGCACCTTAGCCCCGCGCGGCGCCGCAGCCAGGGTTCTTATCGCACCCCTCAGCTGCTGCGCGACCCCGTGGTAATTCCACGATGCTGGCAAGTGGACTGG